ATTCATGAAGTAGAGTGTCTGCCTATTTATTCAAGCCAAGAAGAAAAACATCCTATCGAGCTCCTGCAAAATAAAGTCGACTTGTTGTTATTTCACTACCTCAAAAAGTTTCAAAGCCGTAGCGATATTTTAAAGGTAGAAAAAAAGGCACACCATGCAGGGAAAATGTTAGGAAAAATCAGCAAAAACACACGATGTGTTTTCTTTGAGGGGTAGAAAAGGACATTTCAGAAGTAGGAAGGTAAAGTGTGTTATTACTTAGTAAAATGACCTAAAAAGTGTGTTACCTAAAAAATGTCAAAGCCGTAGCTACATTTTAGAGGGGGGAGGGGGGGTAAATTCGCCAAAAGACGGAAAAACGCGATTGTCCCAAATTTTAAGTTCCCACTTGGAGACCTGTCGGGCCCGGCAGCACCACTTAGGATGATCCGATCCAACTGAAATTTTTGAACGTTCATTTCACACCCAAAGAAAACTTCAAGGGGGGGGGGGGGGGGGGTTGTCAGACATTTGATTTTTGAAGAGTCGAAAAATAAAAACCACCCTAAATTGGTTTATGTAGATGGGTATGATGCTTTTTAAGTTCGATTACGGTATGTTTATTGCTGTAACTTAGGAACCGCTTGGCGGCCCACAATGAGACTATAGGAAATGCTTAAAGATTATGTAAGGGTCACCTACAAAGAAAATCAAAATTTTAAAAAATGCCAAATTTTCCAAAAAATTTCCAAAAATTTTTTCTTGTACTTTTTTTCTTTTTTTAAAAAAAAAAGAAACTGTAAGCTTCAAAATAAGACCTAGCTCAAGTTTTTCTGATGAACCGTTGAAAATCAATAGCCGTTCAAAGTTTTATTGGTAAAAAAAAATCGATTTTTTGCAAATTTTGAAATTCCATATAAAATTAACAGAGTGACTAAATGACCTAAAATTTGGGGAATATTCCTTTTTAACAGGAACTTACAGCACACTAAGTTTGAACATAATCCGAGAGGTAAAGGTTTAAAACCTCGTTGAGGTGACATTGAATGACCCTTACAGTAAAATCTCGTAATTAATATTCTTTGATTTTGATGAAAATGATAATTATCTTTCAATTTCCCTAAAAATACGCGAACCGTTTTTTTGTTAATTTATTAGTTTGATAAGACACGTCAAAGTGATAAAGTTTTAGATGCAGTGGGAGTAGGGGGAGACTTACACTACTGAAGTAAAAAATAAGGGTTGTGAATGTGCTAAAACAGCAATGAGCTTGTTAACCTGTTTCTAATTCTTGCATTTTCAGAAACTGCATTGTCTCCTGACCACACAGTAATTTTTTCAGATTTTTTCGAGCCGTTTTTCCCTCCGAAATCGACTTTTGAAGTTCGAATTTTTAAAATGCCGCGTTTGCCCGCGCTTTAGCGGCAATTCAATATGGCGCCGGAATTACCCCCTGGCTTTCTTACCACACATTCGACCGGGCGCCGTCAGCGGGACCTCTACGCGTTCGAATATCGAGGCTAATCAAAACAACCAACTGGCTGTTATCAATTTCATCTTCTGACAAAGATTTCTCTAGTTTTTGGCATATTTTCTGAACTGTTATTTGTTCAACTAAAATATCTAACCCTGCTTTACAAATATATCGACCTGCAATCTCCTTGAAACGTTGGGAAATCCGGAAATAGCTTCCAAAACTGTGTTAGTTATATGTGTGTGTCCCTATCACTTAAGTATCTAAAGGCTTGGTTTTTCAGTTGAAATCACCGTGTTTTTGGTGTTGGGGTTAACATTGCACACGATTTTTACAGTGTTTGTGTTAGTCAAAATATACTTATAAGTGTTCTTCTAATGATACATTTTCTGCGGTCATACCTACATAGATTCTTGCACTTGCAACCATTGGGTAACCAAACAATCTTCACATTGGACGGGCTTTATGCTGCTAGAACATCTGATACCAAGCACTTACTCTAAGATTTTTCCTCCTTTCTTGCGAGTGTTAAAGTCAGTAATCTGTATATTTGCTCATTAAGTACCTCTACTTGTATATCCACATATTCTTTCCTTTGCTGTTTTGAATACTTCCTCATGACCAACTCCCTTTGAAGTCTGATAGTGTAGTAAATTATGCTTCAGTTATCTGAGCATTTATTTACTAAAAAATCAGTTCAAATGAATTTTCTTCGACATGGATCTCCATTCTACCCTGGAACTGTGTGTGCCGGCACCGACAGACCCTTCGGCAAAAGCCGTTAAATCCTGAAATTGAAAGGTACGTACCAATAATGTTTAAACTAGAACAGAAGTAAATTTGCTCCAACGTGCACATGACTTGTTTTAAATTCTTTGGAACATATGTAGTTTTCTCATAAAAAATGTTTGCGGTGTGCAATGAATGTAATATCCAGTAATTGAAAATCACAAAAAATGTAGCAAGTGTTAATTCGAAGGCACACCAAGGTATGCTCTTATCACTGGATTGACATGGAAACCTGAGGTCTCCATTTCACAGCAGAAATGTCTAGGTACTGATCAAATTATGAGTCAAAGAAAATTTGTCTAGATTTTCCTTCAGTACACCCATGAAAACTCTTAAAATCAATTATGTAGATGGATGCGCTAGCCAACAAATTCATGTGATTGCAATATTTTAAAGTGGATGCCTCCAGTTGGTAGATTTTCTCACCTCATTTTACTGTCACCATTATCTTTTTTTTGTCTCAATCTTTAAACTCAATTGCTTTTTCATAATGATATTTCAAGGATAAAGAGCTTTATGTATTTCATTTCAATAAAGAATTTGCAAGAAAGAGGGAAGAACAACCACGAGGATCGTCCAGAGATGAGTTTACCTGTTCAATATCTCCTAAACTGAGATAGGCACTTCGAGAAAATCTGTAATAAACTTTAAAAAAGCCAATACTCTGGGCTCTCTAACGCGCCATAGATTTTTAAATTTGGCTTGATAGAACTCTAGAAAAGTGGCTTTTTCTGAATCCACCTCCTCTCCGCACAGGTCCAAAATTTTACAGAGCCTCATTCGCAAATGAGCCACTGTGTCTATCGCTAATTTTGAACCCGTGCGGAGAGGAGGTGGGCTCAGAAAATCCCACTTTTCTAGAGTTCTATCAAGCCAAATTTAAAAATCTACAGCGTATTAGAGAACCAGGGTAGTGACTTTTCAAAGCTTATTACAGATTGTCTCTACCTATCTTCGTTTAGGAAGTATTTAACAGGTAAACTTACTTTCTGGATGACTCTTACTATCCGCCATTAGAAACCATATACTTAGGTAATTGAAATTGAGAAGGGAACTTACAAAGTAGTTAGCTACTCACCTTTCATCTTCAGGATTTTTAATAACATCCATTTATTCAGAGTCAGGGCATGCATCTTCACAAAATTTGTATGTGGTTCCATGTCGAAGAATGTAACTTAAAACTGACTTTCTGGTAAAACGGTCAGCATAGTGAGCCATTATTTACCAAAAAAAAATCAGGTTCAAAGTGAATCAAAGTCATGTGGAGGATGTGATTACGTAGAAAATGAGTGGATGAGAAATTGAGACTAAATCACTGATGTTATATCTCGCATTGAGACAAACTATCAAAGAATGGCACACACTAGCAATCCACAATATACCTGTTAATAATTGTGGAACACTGAACAGTTTAATAAGTTTACGGTCCCAGAATAGAAAATTGTCGAAGGCTATTTATTCTTGGGTGGCTTCCTAAGAGTAAACAAGTGATACCTACATGTAATATATTGTGGATATTTCTTTAAAGAGAGCCATTAAGGGAAGGACATTCGATCACTGATTCTATTAAGATTGCTGTAAATGAGAAGTAGGAAGTTTTCTCCAAAATATTTACTTCCCGAAACAAAGCACGAGGCTTCGCATCATGAAGCTTCGGCATGGTCAATAACAGTGTCAGGATTTGACCGGCCGATCTGCTGTTGTTTCTGAAGTTTAAACAAAAACTATTGCAAAAACATATGCACTCAACATTTTCAAGAAGAATTATTCCCAAATTCACTTCACTACCATAGAAACTCAGTATCCCAGTGGAAATGACTAAGTAAACTAGCTCCAATTTGGTCAATATTTTCGGATTTTCCAACGTTCCAAGGAGATTGCAGGTCGAGATATTCGTAAAGCAGGGTTAGATATTTTAGTTGAACGAATAACAGGTCAGAAAATATGCCAAAAACTAGAGAAATCTTTGTCAAAAGATGAAATTGATAACAGCCAGTTGGTTGTTTTGATTAGCCTCGATATTCGAACGCGTAGAGGTCCCGCTGACGGCGCCCGGTCGAATGTGTGGCAAGAAAGCCAGGGGGTAATTCCGGCGCCATATTGAATTGCCGCTAAAGCGCGGGCAAACGCGGCATTTTAAAAATTCGAACTTCAAAAGTCGATTTCGGAGGGAAAAACGGCTCGAAAAAATCTGAAAAAATTACTGTGTGGTCAGGAGACAATGCAGTTTCTGAAAATGCAAGAATTAGAAACAGGTTAACAAGCTCATTAATAACAGCTACTGATGATAGCAACTTCTTCTCTTTCGCACTTCAACTTTTGCATACAAAAAAAACGATACCCAGAAGACTAATGAAAACAAGACCAGAACATCAACTTCTTCATCCAAAATTGAGACGTTTTAGATTTTTTCGTGCTTAAGCGAGTTATCCAGAAATGGATGCACAGTGCGACAAAAGTAGCAGCGTTTTCCAGCCCACGACACCGAATTCCTTCGCACTCTCTCTCCCACCCGTTCCCTTACTGGAAAAAAATATACCAAAATCTCTCAGCTATTCTCCAGCGTCCGACGCCAAATATACGGAGGACTATTACAGTAAAATGAGCAGCTTTTCTGTTTTCGCAATTATAAAGAGGCATTTGACATGATAATATTGTTTCAAAAGAATTGATCGCTAAAAATAGATTAGAAAATAGATAAATCTATTACTAATGATAACATAGATAAATGAATAAATAAAATCCATTCCTCACGTACCAGGTTATCAATTCCTGATATATTCAAGGACAGGTCTCGATTGTCATCAGGGCTTTTTGATGGACCAAAATAAGCGTGCTGAAAAAGCAAGAAAAATCAAAATTTACCAAATAAATTATGTGAATGAGAACCTTCTACAAAGGCTGTACAAAAAGTACCAGGACTGGTTCTATAACTCAAAAATAAAGATACCTAGAGGCTTGATCTTGGTTTCATTTGAAAGATCAACTCAATATCTATCAATTGAGACCAAAATCAAAACTTTCAGTTTTCAAAAGTTACAACGCTGTTTGTAAAAAAAATATCTGGACCCCCTACTGGTTTTGGTGACTATTTTCTCTTATCGAGAACACTCTCTAAATTAATGATCAGTGCACGGTTCTTTTGCAACTAATTATGGCAAAACCTAATTGATTTGGAAACACTGACAAGTCGTCGTCGTCCGACAACGGGTATAAAGGTTCAAAGTCCATGGGGAAAGAATGAACCGTCAGTCAGCCACCCCAAGAAAACCTGGGACATTTTCGGCAGTTGTTGACAGTTCACAGTGCGTGTGTGGTCTACGCTGCAGACAGTGAGTGATTTTGTTTCTGTAATCGAAATTTTCGATACCATCATGGAAAGAGATGAAGCCGTGGAAAAAGAACAACATTTTGTGATTCGATATTGTGTTCGACGTGGTTTATCAGCTACGGATACGCTGAATGAAATGAAAGGTGTGTACCGGGACGATTCTTTAAGCCGGACCGCGATTTTCCGCTGGCTTTTTCTAGTAATATTAATCTAGGGGGGCTGACCTACAGTTCATTCTTTCCCATGGACTTTGAACCTTTATACCCGTAGTCGGACGATGACGACTTGACAGTGTTCCCAAATCAATTAGGTTTTGCCATGATTAGTTGCAAAAGAACCGTACACTAATCATTAATTTAGAGAGTGTTCTTGGCAAGAAAAAATAGTCACCAAAAACGGTAGGGGGTCCAGATATTTTTTTTACAATCAGTGTTGTAACTTTTGAAATATTTGACTGAAAGTTTTGATTTTGATCTTAATCGATAGATATTGAGTTGAGTTTTCAAATGAAACCAAGATCAAGCCTCTAGCTATCTTAATTTTTGAGTTATGGAGCCAGTCCCGGTGCTTTATGGACAGCCTTTGTATTTGGTATGGATATGGAAAAGAGAATCAGAGGATGTGATGTTTTATGTTTTCATGGAAACACAACAAAGACATTTATTTTTTGAATACCCTCGAATGTAGCCAGCTTTCCTTAAATATAATTTTCCATATTTGTATACATGACCACTTTCTGGCAGTTTCTCAGCCCTCCATTGAAAGCACCTGCTGCCTCATCTACACTCTACAGACAATTGAATTAGGGATGGGGTCCTAATGAGAAACTTATACCGCTGCCATCTAATTGAAGAGAGCAGTAATAAGAGCAAGAATGTATATTTGACAGAATGGACCTAGTAGCATACCAGCGGAAAATTATACTCAACTGATCCTCTGTTCTTCGTAAAATTGCTGCTAATCATCCAAGAGATTCTAGGAAACGGTTCCGATCAATAAAATTTCATAAATTTTATTTTTGACAATGTAACAAGGGCCTTTTACATTTGGATCGCATTTAGCAAAAAGGAACCAGCGCTATCACAGTGTTTTCAAAATCGTTCAAGTTCTTCTTTACTTTTAAAAATACTCAATATAAGTAGATTATTAAAAATTACACGATTATTTTCTCTTAAAATTAACAATTTTCTGGTAGGAAACAGCAACTTTTTGCTATTTTGAGGGATTTTTCCGATAATTCTGAAGAGGCAACATTTTTACAACACGAATTGCGCTGACTCTTTTTTGCTAAATGCAATCAATTTCAAGTAGCGCAAGACAGTAGAAGATGCTATCTCCTGCATGTTTCCGTGATTGCGTTTTGGACACACAGCAAATAAATTTTATGATTAGCAATCGGCGAAAATGGGCACCATTTTATTCAAGACAGCTCTCTGGCGGAAAAACGTGGACTTGCTCCTGGTATGTCTGAGGAGACGTTGTCAATTTCTGCCAATTTCTGCTTTTTCACAGGACTCGTATTCTGCCGTGCAACGCAAGAACGCCGTAACTCCAAAATTTGAAAAAATTGAGTTAGATAAGAAAATGGGGTGATTGAGGTACAGGAAATTTAATGGTGAGATCAAAATTCTGATATCGCCGTTAGTTTCCGAGATATCGACGGTGAAAGTCGGCAATCACATAACTCGGTTTGCGACGTTGCAGACTTCCTGTCATACTTTATTTTTTAAACGGAAAACTACTCAACGGTAATTCTTTCAAACTGCCGTGATTTTTCTTCTATGTGCGAGGAAAATTCTGCAAAAACTTCAAGGAATCATGTCCATTTGTTCTCCTTTAAAAAAATAACATAGTTGCGGAGATTTTCAGACACCGCAAACGAGTTATGTGGTTGCCGACTTGCACCGTCGATATGGAGCCCGCGCTTGCCGTACATCCACCGAACTGGGTACCTCGACACAGCAAGAACGCCGCGACCGCCGCGTGCACAGCAAGAACGCGGCGGTTGCGGCGTTCTTGCTTGGGAGCGATCAATGTTTTACGCGAGTTAGCACGATTTTACCTAGCTGCGCTCGCCGTTTCTCCACCCGTCCCGTCCCCCGGTCTGTGTTTTCGGCAAATGTGTGTGCCCGAGTTACCTTTCTACGTATTTTAGGTGTGATTCTCTGTGTTCTATTTACTGTTTTTACGATAACCTTTGGCAAAATTAAGTTGAATCTATTTATTTCATGTACATAGTTTAAGCGAGAGGTCAAATATTGAAGAGTCAAAGATTAATCACATCTTTTCTTTTTTTTTTTGGTTTGTTAATATCAATACAAAATTTCAAAATTTCTATCAACATATTTTTGCTCATATGCACTTAATCTAAACGGCACCCAGAAGAATTTCTTGTCGATGCAAACAGAATGTTGATATGATAATGGTCATGTTCTAAATCCAAACTACTTGGGAAAATTATTTGAACGGAACACACAGAAATATTTTGAACAGAACACATATTAAATTTTTAACTTTTTCTTCAGTTCTTCGTATTGAAATTCTAATTGTTCTTACGGAAAATATTGAATCAAAATGCTGGTGACTCTCTTGAATTAACCATGAAAATAACATTCTACTTGGATCCCTTGGTGATATCTGTGATTCAATACTCCCTTTACTGAATTATTTATAAATGGTTTTGCGTAAAATATTAAAATAGAAAGAACAATTTAATAGTTAATTCCTGATTAGAATGCCTCATTGGCGGTTTAGTCCTTCTATGGAATCATTATTGGGCTGGTCAATGATTGCATCTTTAAATTATATTACCTGCATTTGATAAAATTCACGATTTGCTTAATCGACAATTGGACCACATTTTTGCTAAAGAAAGCTATTCATAGCTCATTTTAGAAGGAAACTATGTGCCATTTGTTTACTTGCAGATATTTTTTTATGGATGAGCAGATATAGTAATTCTTCATTGGAAAATGTGGTCCAATTCATCATTCCATCGAAGCGATCTTGAAAATCTAATCAATCCCTTCAGTGAATTCAGATTATTTTAAAAGAAGGTCAGGAAATATTTGACATTATATTTTTATGAAGGGGTGTGTAGGAATTTCAACATAATATGGCAATCTCGGTTATTACTTTTAAGAAGGGGTATGAAGGAATTTGGCAACCAAGAGCAAAGTAAGGGTTGGGGTATAAATTGAATGCAAGTGAAAGTTAATCACGTGTTGGATGCTCCTGGATTTTGAGAATCACACAAAGACGACTGAAGCCAGATCCAGCTCCAGATCCAGATCAGGTTTTTTCCGTCGAAGAGGCAGCACCCACAGCATGGCAGATGCAAACCACGAATCCAAGCGATGACCGAGCGGCATTTTGCCACCGCATGAGCCACTGCGGCCAGCCTAGCCCTACAAACCAAAAACGCCGCTTATCCGAGGCATCCCTGTTCGTGCAGCATTATTGAGACCAATAGTCGCCTTTAGCATGATTTTTTTATATTGTTAGACACACAAGTGTGTCAAGAAGCGAAATGACAGACAAAAACTTCAAAAATTTCAAAAGGGATTAAAGGGAGAGGATGAAAACTTTGAGAGTCATTTTCTCGGTTCGCGCGGCAGTGGAGTTACGGCGTTCTTGCGTTGCACGGCAGTATTATATAAATACGATGAATTTTGCTGTTTTAAGTGAATAAGACGTCATTTTCCTCGACCGGGGGTGGCTACAGCCACTGTTTATCAGTGAGTTGACTTAAAATAGATAGGTCGAATTCAGAGAAAAGCAGATTTGGGAAATTTGAGCATTACTGCTCGCTTAGGTAGACCAGTTTTGTTCTCATTTAGCTCATTAACCAGCTACACCCAATCGGATATCCTTGGATCAGACCGTCTCATTGTTTGTTACTTCATCTTGCTTTCTTTCTCTTTAAATTCCTTTGTTCTTTCATGAAAAGAATTTAGATTCCCAATAGCAATAGGGCACTACTAGTAAATCAATTTGTATTATTATTACTACTACTTACTACCCTTTCAGTTTTGTGAATTAATAAATAAGCTCCTACAGTTTAAATTCAGATTGATGTTGATTTTTTGTTTCTCAACTCCTCTCTGTCATAATTATTCCAACAGTGGTGTAACTACCTAATCTGAATTTTTCAACAAAAAATTATTACATTCAAATAATAAGGAAAAGGTTAATGGGGCTAAAGGAGGAGTCAATCTCTCCTCAATTTGCCTGCTTGGGCTAGAGGCGCTGAATTGATCAATAAAAAGTCCATGGAATGAAGTTAGTCAATTGTAAAATGAGTCCTCTTTGATGACCTCATGTACAGCTCTTAGCTGAGGATAATTGATATAAGAGTTGTTGGCTCTTTGAAAGATCTTAGGATAGAAAAGCAAATGGAGACTGTTTCAGAGACTCAGACTCCAAAGTCCACCAATTCTATCCATGAACATATATNGGGGGGGGGGGGGGGGGAGTTGCGACAATTCATTGCTGCACATGACTACTGTACTCCTGCAAATAGTCAATGGTCTCGTATCCTTCCCAGCCTCACTTACTAATGTTTGACTAATTACCTTCAGATCTATGTAATTTGCACAATCTTCTTCAAGCATTTCTTTCTCATCTTGATCAAAATCTGATGAGTCTAGGCTTGTAAATGATGATGACTTTGAGATGATAACCTTTGAGCGAAGCGATACCCACACTGTCCGTATAAACTGGTAACATAACCATCCACTTACGCCAACAAATATTATGAGACCAGATATCTGTGCTGTGGGGAAAAAAAATAGTAAAATAAGAACAGAAACAAGCCAGGAAATGCAAGGGCGCTATTTTAATCTCATGATAAATTTGGACCAGATAAGGTAGTATTGTCTTTTAGTAATTGAATCCCTCAAAATAGCATAATTCATGGTCACATACCGATAAGGTATAGTAACCACAGTGGGGGCAAAGAGGTTTTTCCCAGAAAATTATTTGCAGTCTGATACGAGGAAGCTAATTCATGAGTCATACAGATGAAGTTACTAAAATAAATTCAGTGTAGTTTTACGGGTTCCGTGGTTGGTCAGCCACCTCCTCATCGTTACCAATTCTTGACTGTCTATGCACACTCCTTTATACCCTCAATAATGGTTTCCAGTGCCCCTTTGGACTTGTATTACATCATGTCTGCTAGGTTTATTAATTCAAATATTACGTAAAAAACGAGAGAACGAAAATACACTAACCTGTTTTGAAAAGATTCAGTCCTTCAAAAAGGCTTGGCTCCAGACCAAAGTGCTTGGGTTCTACTATGCTTGACTTTACATTCTTGAGATCAACTTTGCCACGAAAAAGCGGCAGGATGATTCCACCACAGACATCTACCTGTAATCCTAGTGTTAGGAGTTCTATTTTAGGTTGTGATTCCATAAAATGGTCTTCAATTTGAGAGATCAAACGTTCAGTCCAATTCAAGACCGATGCAAATTCTTCATAAGTATCATTGCATCCTGCATTAGAGACAGCCTTTCAGCCACCATCCTTTGGAACACTGAGTGAAAATTCCAGATCGTCCATCGGTAAGATAAAGAACTAACTCTGGAAAACCAGTAGGCTGACCGCTTGGTTTGGTTTGATCAAAAACGTCATGGCTTAAAAATACATACTTCTTCTTTTAAGCTGCAACAATACAAAACGACAGACAATGCTTAAAAATGCACTCTTATTTCGGATAATATTCCTGATTGAAGAGAGGAGCAAAAATATGAAACTGACCAAGAGAAATTACTGAAACTAATATTTCTCAGCAGAACTCATTCTTCAGAATATAAAAGGACCTATAGTCTGTCCGAGATTGGAAGAACTGTGGAAAGTCGGAATTAATTGAGAAAATCTTTGGAACTAGGGCATATGAGGCTTGTAATCCTGCTAAGATTGTATGACTTGGTACACAATTAGCAGCGAATTGAGTTACGCCTACATGTAATTATTTTTGCAGTAAAATAAATCAAAATTATAAAAAAAAAAAAATTCAGGAAGAAATCCTAACAGAGCTTTCAAACTGTTCAACTGGAAACGATGCACTAAGTTGCACAATCTTAGCAGCATTGCAAGTCTTATAAGGTTGAAGGAGCTGTACCTACTTTCCTTATGTATTCTCTGAGTACATCTCAACTCATGCCAAACAGCTTCAGGTCCTTGACTTTTTTCCTACATTTCCAAGAGATGGCCGAGAAGAGAGGAGGAAAGAGAGAATTGTCTTTTTATGGTCGTTTAACAATTCACTCTTCAGGTGCCTCTCAATTGAGCTAAAAACAGCCACTTCCCCCTATAACCTAGAGTTGCAGAACCTAGAGAATTTTCAGTAGGCACTAACAAAAAGAAGATAGTACTAAACAAAGTAATTCCTCAGTCATCTTCCAGACCTACAAGTCAAGGGCCAAAAGGAATCTGAATAGGTACTGTCCTTTTCCGAAACAATCAAATCTGTCAAAATTTAACTAATACTGCAACCTTCAGTGACTGCTACTAATGGCATAAAAGTTCCAAAAAGGACCCCGCACACCTCTTATGGGAAGTTGCACCATAAAGGAATGTTAATTTATTCATGTCATTCGATTCTCCTTAAGATGCTGATCAAAAGTTATAAAGACGCTAACTTTCTACAATTCACCATTTTTACAAAAAACCGCCGAGAGGATTCAATTATTCAGCAACAATGAATAAGAAAGAACAAAGCATTTGAGAACAGGCTTGATGTAAACAAGGAAAAAACGTAAAGCATGTCCGTCTTGCTCTTCTTATCTGTACCTACCGACTCTAGGGCTATCCCCCTCCTCTCGCTCTCGACGCGTCCGTTTGACATTCACTGACACACAACCGCTTGTCAATCGAGTACTGAAATGAGGAATCTTTCTGGCTTTTTATCGCCGAAGAATTGAATCTTCTCTGCGGTTTTTGGCGAAAGCGGTGCTTGAAGAAAGTTGGCACAATTATGTCTTTTGATCAGCATCGTGAGGAGAATCGGATAATATAAATAAATCAATGTTCCTTCATGGTGCAGCCTCCCATAAGAGGTGTGCGGGATACCAAAAAATAAGCATTCTTTGATTCTATTTGCACTACCCGATGAGGCGATGACTTGCATATTTGCACATGAATGCGCAATATCTATACCAAGCGCTTATCCAGGTATCTCCAGAGGTCAATGAATAAGTTGAGAGGTGCCCACCAAACAGGACAAAAAGGGCATTGTTCAATTTTACAACCTATCTGCATCCAGCAATCGAGTTTGCATGCAATAAAAAGTGTAAGTAAATTCAAAATGACTACTTACATAAAAATTTAGAGGATTACAGATCTGCATTCCACTTAATACATGAGTCTAAACCAAACAATCTATCATCTACTGGTAGAAGATAGTAATATGTAACAGTGTCACTTTAATATTGAAGCAATAAATATTAGTGTCATAATTTTAATTTGCAAATAATTATTCTAAACAATTTCAAAGCAAACACAATTTCTATTTTTGACACTGACTTCCTCGATGTTTATTTTTATTCTCTCTTCGCTCCCTTCAATTCAAAACGCAAACACTGGGCAGGATGCTGGGCAGGTGACTGCTGCTGCTGACTGAAGTGAGTTAATTACAGACAGAGACAGAGTTACCTACGAAGTTGATGTCCGATGTTCTCGGAACAGGTAGTATTCTGAGAGATCCGGAACCTTCATAAACCAGCGGAATTTGTTCCGGGATCAATGTTTACCGTTAATTAATTAAATTAATTAATTAATCCATTTTGGAGTCCTCTATTTTTATGAGAAAAAGAAAATCAAATCATTCGATTTGACGGATTATATTTACTGAGGATAGATATCGAAGACCATCCTCCGAAAATTTCGAGAAAATTCAAAGGGGAAATTTCATGCAATGTTGTTGAATTGCTCCATCATTTATAATTCGCAAATCGCGTATATTTAGGGCAGGCTCTGAGGTTTTCAAATTTTCATTTGTGCCCCCTTTGACGCATAAGCATGCATAAGATACTGAGTGTGCACACCAAGAATCATCCTTGGAAAATTTCGAGAATATCCAAGGGGGATATCTCTAGTAGAGTACCTGTATAGCGAGAGTATGGACAGATCGCTTCATGGAGGGCTTAGGGCCCAAAAGTGCAGCCACCCTTCTAACCAACTTCTAACGCACAAAATTTCACTGCCAGATGCCAGTCTGCAGGTTCCAATTCTAACCAAGATGGCCAAGAATGTACATAAATAAGCGTTCTTCCGCAAAATTGAGTAAATTTATGCAAAAACTGAGTCAAACACGTGCTTAATAAACGACGGTTCGTAACAGTAGTATTAGTAAATCGTTCTGGATAATTGAAATTCATAGGTTGGCTGCATTTCTGGGCCCTAACTTTATTCGCAGAAGCATCGGTGAAGGCCTGATGGATTTTCGGAGTTTCACATCTGTCCATACTCTCGCTATACAGGTACTCTAATCTCTAGGAATGTTGTCGAATTGCTGCATCATCCATAATTCGTGAGTCGCGTAAATTCAGGGCAGGCTCTGAGGTTCTCAAAGTTTCATTTGTGCATCCCATTTGATACATGAGATATTGAGTATGCACACCTAGATTCATCCTTGGAAAATTTCGAGAAAATCCATGGGGGAAATCTCTAGCGATGTTGTCGAATTGCTCCATCCTCCATCATCCTTAATTCGCGAGTCGCGTAAATTCAGGGCAGGCTCTGAGGTTTTCAAGTTTTCATTTGTGCATCCCCTTTGACGCATAAGATATTGAGTATGCACACCCAGAATCATCCTTGGAAAATTTCGAGTAAATCCAAAGGGGAAATTTCATGCAATGTTGCTGAATTGCTCCATCATCCATAATTCGCGAGTCGCGTAAATTCAGGGCAGGCTCTGAGGTTCTCAAAGTTTCATTTGTGCATCCCATTTGATACATGAGATATTGAGTATGCACACCTAGATTCATCCTTGGAAAATTTCGAGAAAATCCATGGGGGAAATCTCTAGCGATGTTGTCGAATTGCTCCATCCTCCATCATCCTTAATTCGCGAGTCGCGTAAATTCAGGGCAGGCTCTGAGGTTTTCAAGTTTTCATTTGTGCATCCCCTTTGACGCATAAGATATTGAGTATGCACACCCAGAATCATCCTTGGAAAATTTCGAGTAAATCCAAAGGGGAAATTTCATGCAATGTTGCTGAATTGCTCCATCATCCATAATTCGCGAGTCGCGTAAATTCAGGGCAGGCTCTGAGGTTCTCAAA